TGTCACAGCAAAGGGTCTGAATACTTAGGACCATGTGATATTTCAGTTTTTCTTTTTTAATAAATCTGCAAAAATTTCAACAATTCTGTGTTTTTCTGTCAATATGGGGTGCTGCGTTTACATTAATGAGGAAAAAAAATTAACTGAAATTATTTTAGCAAATGGCTGCAATATAACAAAGAGTGAAAAATTTAAGGGGGTCTGAATACTTTCCGTACCCACTGTATATATATATATATATATATATATATATATATGCACACAATTGGCAGATTCTTAAAATTCTATCTGAAAACTACTTGTAAAAATATTTAAGTAAATCTTGCAATTTATTTTATTCACAGTGTAGTTAATTATTTTGCTGACAATTTTTTTATTAATTGTTATGCCATCTTAAATGCACTGTGCTTGCAATGCACTGTGGGATCGCCGTCTTTTGAAATTTGACTAACACCTCAGAATGCACACTACGTAGGTGACTCACTAGGTTTTAAAACACAGTGAGTCACACGTGATCGTGAAATTTTAGTGAATTCTGATAAACATCTCGACAGGAACATGATGAGCGAGGCAGACACGGCTAATCATAACTAACCCGGCTCTTCCTGTTAAAAGCCTAAGCAGGTTTTTACTTGTCAGCTGTCTTACCTTCAGTCTGGATTTACGACTTCCTGGTTGGCAGTTTGTTAGTTTCCTGGTTTTGGCAGCGACGCGGGAGGCCCAGGAGACGGAGGAAGGCTGAGGCAGGCTCTGATCAGAAGCGACGTAATGATGGCTCTCTACGGCGGGCTTTGTCTTACATCCTGAAGCCTCCTGGATCTGGGATAGCTATTAATGATCCCCTTGAATAATTCACACTGATGGATAAAACACCTCCACAATTAACGGCGTGCCACGCTGAACCACCCACTCCTCTGAGGACCACTGGAAGTGACGGCTCACTGTAAAAAAAATTCACACTACCCCCACCCCGCTCACTCACACGCACTCGTTTATATACCTGCTTGAAGATCTGGAGGTTATATGACTTTGAGAAGTAAATTCATTGACTGAGTAGATGCGAGGTTTTAAATAGAACTCGATTGTGACATTTTCTGAAGGAAATTTAAGTGGCGTTTGCTCGTGCAGAACTCGCTGCCGTAGTGATACAGTGTTGTGGGTGGTTGCTGTGCAGTGGCTAAGGTGTTCTGAGTGGTTGCTAGAGTGTCGCTATGTGGTGGCTAGGGTGTGCTGAGTGGTTGTTTGGTTTCTAGGGTGTTTTGGTGGTTGCTATGGCACTTCTAGAATGGTTGCTGTTTGTGGATTTTTTTTCACCCATTCCCATATGGCAAAAAGTAAACATAAAATTAATTATATTATATTATATTATATTATATTATATATTAAAAATGTGTATATTTTATGAATTATAAAAATGGCCAATAATATACTGCTAACAAATTTTAAAACACATTTACAACAATACATTTTCGATACGTGTTTACTACTTATCAACTATATATACACACTGTGTGTGTGCGCATATAAAAAAATCCAAAAATGTATCCAAAAACAGATTTAAAAAATAATGATAATCAATATATTAATAATATATCTATGTAAATATATTTTTCTTGCCAATAATAAAATGAAAAATATTGTCATGTATTATATTTCACAAAAATCAGTCAACATATAGATTATAGCTAATATAGATTTTAAGTGTGAACTTACTCGCATTTCATCATATTTTGGCCGTTTTTATATATTTTCATTTTCATTTTTTAGAGTATTTTTAGATTTTTTTTATTTATTTAATTATTTTTTTTACAAATATAAAAAAAAAATGAAATGCATGTAAATATATTTTCTTGCCAATAATGAAAATCATAAAATTATTAATGTTTTCATATAATAAATCTCACAAATATACAAAACACAGCCAAAAATGTACTGCTAACATAGATTTTTAAATATTTTTAAAATAATATTTACGATACGTTTTTATCTACTGCCACGGTTGCAATACTGAGTGGAGTGAGGAGCAAGGAACGGAGGGAGACGAGGAGTACATCAATCCAAAGAGACTTAATTATAACCCGGAAAACTCATGTAACACAGGTAGACATGAACAATACTGAACGCTTAACTAAAAACAGGGAACACTATTTAAACACATGACAAGACGAGGGGATGACGAGACACACCTGGGATCAATGGAAATAAACGGGGAACACCTGGAAAGAATCAACATAATCAGGACAGGAACAGGAAACTAACCAAATATGGGCATAAACACTGGGGAACAAAACACAACACAAGCCTGACACTTGTACTGCACATCCTCATATTTTGGCCATGATAAATTTTCAATATTTAAATATTTTTTAGAATAATGTTTTACAAATATATATTTACATCTTGTAATATGATATTCTGATTTCTATGGCATGTGTTCCTTCATTGTAAGTCTATGTAATTTTTAGAAAAGCAATTTAAAAAAAATAATAACACAACAGTTCACTTGATTTGAGGTATGCAGGATGAGTTACACGGCAAAGTTTAGTAAAGTTTAGCAGGTACCACGACAGAGTCAGTTATGTGTTTTAAACCATATCAAACTTACTGAAAAGAAGCCTTTGTGAAATAATTAATATTTGTATGTACAAAAAGTTTTTATTTTTTTTAAACTTCATAGGTTTCAGATGAATACATTTTAAAGAACAGCGGGTTTCTTTATGAAAAAAATATAATACAAAAGAAAAGAAAACAGAAGAAATTCATAAGAAGCCTGGGCCCTGTTTGCTTTAGCTTTGTCCTGTCATTGCAATAAGTCTTGAGGGGTGAGGAGCCTTGGAAGACATAAAACTTTTTGCAGTTTTTGTATTCTGTTTCATGAGCAGAACTTCAGAGAGCAAATTTAGATAAGAACTTCAACCTTGCCCCAGTGCTATGCAAACTTCATTTGGTTTTATATATTAATCATAAACATTCAATATATGCAGTATTAACTGCCCTACATATTACGCAGCTGTTGTTTAAGATGGCCTGAACTAGACTCAGAGATCACATGAATCTGTGGTCTTAAATCAAAACTGGCAGGAGTCCTTGTTCGCACATTGTTATGGCTAAAGCTCATCTGGTCTAGACAGAGTGGCTGAAAATGAGAGAGATGTGCAGTAAACTTCTAAGACCGAACATTTGGCATACACTTTTGTCCAAACTTTTATCCTTTTATCCATATCAAGGTATATGTTTATAATATGCATCTTGATGTTGGTGTTGCTAAAAAAGTGCTCTACCAATTAAGTTGCAAGAACTTACTATGGTGTTCTAAGTGGTTGTTAGTGGCTTGCTATGCAGTTACTAGGGAGGTTGCTATGATAAATCAATGTAAGTCTGGGATTTTTGTCACCTTTTCCCATATGACCAAAAAATTATTTTAACCAATATCTTCTTTTTTGGATTGTTTAAAACATTTTTTAATGCATGTATATGGATTTTCTTGCCCCTTGAAGTACATTTTGTAATATATTGTAGTCTATGGGATTTTTTTTCACACTTTCCCATATGATGAAAAAAATATGTATTACAAATATATATTACAAAATATACAAAAGATGGTCAAAAATGTTGTATATATTTATAAATATATTTACATAAATATATGAAAAAATATATTTTATATATTTTTATATATTTTCATTCTACATATTTTTGAATATTACAAAATTTAAAAAAGATAGTCCAAAATTGAGTATATATTTTAAAAATGTATGTATATATGTAAAAATATATAATTAAAAATGATCAAAATATATTCATGGACATGTTTTTAAATATATTTTCATTCTAAATATTTTTTTTAGATTTATTTTATAATTATTTTAATGAAAGTTTTTTTTTGGTATAATTTTACAAATGCATTAAAAAATGCATGTATTTTCTTTCCCGTTGAAGTGCATTTTGTAACATTTTGAAGTTTAATACTTATGGTTAGGGATGTTTTATATTGAAGTATATAGACAATAGTCCAACCTCTACATTCTGAGTTTTACCTCATTGTATGAAACTTATAATAAACCAGTTAAGCACCTCATGGCTGAAAAATCTAAACATTAGCATGATCTAAAAGTGTGTTTTACCTGAAAGGACAACATTTTTTATTGAGTAAATAAATCCCAAGTTCATATATATATATATATATTAAATCTGAACTTGACCTCCCCATGCCCTCAATTAAAAAGCCCCTCCTCCCTTTTTTCATATTCAAATGACGGAATTACAAGCCCAGGACCGGATATAATTGTATTTTGTGTGTGTTGACTAAACACAGGTTCCGCCAAGAAGAAAAAAGCTGGCTCCAACTATTTATTGCGGCAATGCTTTGTTCCACTCCACCCCAAAAGGCTTCAAATCATCGGGGAGATTGTTAAGCTTCTGTGGAAATTACGGAAATGCGGGGGAAATGGACGAGCTGCACTTCATAACAATTAATCAGGGACTGCTGATTAATAAAGTTAATTTTTTATTCTCGATGATTCAGGGTATTATCAAAAGGACACTGTCCTTGTCATTTTGATTAACACACCCATCCTCCTTCTGCGGTGGGACGCGGCGAAGGGAGACGCTCTCTTGTGCCCATAAAATAAATATTGAATGAGAATATTAACTCGTTAACCTTGACAACTATTTGTAATTTTCATAAGGGCTAAACTCGCGAATTCAGCACAAAAAAATAAAATAAAACCTGCTGTGGGGGTTGAAGAAAGGCCTCGGCGAAGGGGGGGCGGAGGGGAGGCAATAACAACACACAACAAATTAGAGCGAATGAAGGATGCTACTGCATGAATCCTGTCATTTTTATGGGCTGCAATGATTAATTTGTTTGTTCAAATTCTCAATTAAGCCGGGAGGAGGAGAATTAGAAAGCCAGAGAGATGCAATGCGCCGTTGTCTCGCCTTTGCCTGTGGCATCAAGGGAGAAGCGGCACTCATTTACCTGCGATGCGTCCCGGTCGGGCCCCCGAAGTCAAACGGCACGCTTTTATTTCCAACGCTAAGCAAATCAATATCAATTCCCGGAATGTTTCAATAATGTTCAGTCACAGTATTCCTCAAGACCTTTTTCACATAATTATGTAGACACCAGAATGGTGTTTCGCAAGCTGATGTGACTGAACGGCCCACATCATGTGTGTCTCTTAGCTTAACAGTCACACAGAGGATGATGTATGGGGCTCTCCGCTTGTCCTCTCAAGGGCCCCGTGCTTTTTATTGTGTGCTAGAGTGACAGATGTTTCTCAAATGACCATGTCCCTCATGCGCTTTGCACCTTACAAAACCCTGTCTTATATGACATGAATGGAAACACTCCCTTACTGCACTCCACTATTACAGACTCCTGAAATCCTGAAAGGCATTTGTCAGAGACTCAAAGAAGCATGCCTGCGGATGACCGATAGTGCCAGTTTGGGACAAAATACTGTGTTTTAGAAACATGTACGACAATATGGAGAGAAATACAGATAGCTTGTTTTGGCATTCATGCATAAATTAACAAGTGCGAATCCGATCAACCTGAATTTGCATATTTTTACAACTTTTTGAAATCTGTGTATTCTTATAAAGAAAATAAGCAAGATTTTACATTTCAGGAAAAAAACGTGCGAGTGCTGCTTGCTAGTGCGAAACTCGCTGCTATGCTGGGGTGTTTGTGGGTGGTTGCTAGGGTGTTCTGGGCAGCTGCTTGTGTTGCTGTGTGGTTGCTAGGGTGTTCTGGGTGGTTGCCAGGTTGTCGCTAGGGTGTCCTGGGGGTTTACTTCTGTTGCTATGTGGTTGCTAGGGTGTTCTGGGTGGTTACCAGGGTGTTGCTATGTGGGTGCTAGGGTGTTTTGTGTGGTTTCTAGTATATCTGTGTGGTTGCTAGAGTGTTCTGGATTGTTGCTATGATGTTGCTAGGGTGTTTTAGGTGGTTTCTTGTGTTGCTGTGCGGTTGCTATTGTTGCTAGTTTGTTCTGGGTGGTTGTCAGGGTGTTGCTATGTGGTTGGTCACGTCTCCTCAACATTTACTACTACGATTCATGTATGTAGCACAAATGTTGCATTAAAGTTCTCTCTCTCTCTATATATATATATATATATATATATTGGCCTTTAAAGAGTTGGCTGATTTCTCCAGTAAAACTCTAGTGCATTTAACAGACGAGTCACTTTAGTTAATGCTGTCCACTGGCTCCCCATGAACAAGGTGTCTTTTACAAGCCCAGGACAACATTGACTGGAGCCTGTGCTTGTGCAGTGAAAATGCTTATTAGTCAAACAATCCCCATCGGAATAATGCCTCCGTCAGCCTGTGGTGAAGGATAACCACGTCGGTGACAGTCCGGTGCCCAGGTCCTGCTGGAGATCAGGTACGAGGAAGAAAGCACTTGAATCAATCAAGCTTGTGTTGATATCCATGTAGAAGGAAAATAAAGAACGTCAGCCAAGCATCACTACTATTATTGCTCTTATTTAGGACTACTTAGCCATTTAGACTTATCATTTTCATCTTGAGAATAATCAAATGGCCACAAAAATGAAAACATTGTAGGAGGAACTCAAACTAGAATGTCAGAATGAGTTGAGGGTTGATTTGGTAAACAGTAATCAACCACCCAGAACACCTTAGCAACCACAAAAACACCCTAGCAACACCCTGGTAACCATACTCAACTCCCAAGCATTTGCACGATCCAGAACCATACATATATTTTTCTAAAAATGAAAAAAATCTACATTGATGTTTCTGTACCAAATCTAGGGCTGATATTTTGGGTGGTTTCTAGAATCACTGTGTGGTTTTTAGGGTGTTTGGCATTGTTGCTACTGTTGCTATGAGGTTTCTAGCATTTTTGGTGGTTTCTAGTGTTGCTGTGTGGTTGCCAGGGTGTTGCTATGTGGTAAATAAAACAAAAAGTCAGACAAGCATTGCTACTATTATTGCTCATATTTAGGGTTACTT